ATCGACATATTCTTTGCAAAACATAACCATTTTTTTGTATTATTGTTTACTATATTACAACTAACTAAAAATTATAAATAAAAATAAATATTCGATTCAAGTTTATATGGTAAAAATATGGCAATAAACTGAAAGAAATCTGTAACATATATATTATAAAATTGTTTTTAGATGTATGGTTAGATTTTCATATGGACAATATATTTCAGATATATGAAGTATATGTGTATAATATATATATATATTTGGTATAGCATGTAAAATAATTACACTGTGTAGAAATATGCTAAAGGTATTTACAGGCATCAAACGTATAAGTATTATGTGTGTGTGTGCTGCATTTGCAATAGTGTTGCGTGTGCCATAGAGCAAAGGTTTGAATCTCCGGGTGAGGCACTCACGCGCTCCCCGTACAAAGAGGAAGCTCGGACACGCAGGTGGTTTAGCTTAAAACTTATAACTAGTTGTGTTGTGAATCGGGTTAGTCGGTGGGATATTGTGTAGCAACCTGCAGGAACAGCACCTTCGCTATCCCTGAGACTCCAGGACTCCCACACACACAGTGGCCTCACCCTGGCGTGTCCCTGTGCAAGGTCAAAATAAAGGAGGAGGGAAAGGTTAGAAACAGGGCTCACAAAACACCGAGAGGAGAGATGCGTATACGGAGCCCTGACTTTGTGTCTGTTGCTAGGGACTTAATCAATTCTTGTGTTTTGTGAAACCATAGATCTATGTTTTTTATGCTTTGATGCTTGACTTAATAAATTGTTAATACTTATAGATCGTCTACCGTCTTCTGTTCATCGAATGTAATTCCAATCAAACGATGTGCGCGGGGTCCTTCTGAAGGTGTAGTCTTTTGGAGTCAGATTATACGGTGGGCTTTTAGCCTGAGGGTAAATCCCCAACAACTGTGACATTTTTCCTCTGGGTAAAGATTATTTGTTCCAGGTGCAGAGGGATTGATGTAAATTGCAAAATGTTATCTTGACGAACAATTCTACCATTGTTGATATTGTCCCATCACGTTATATACAGTATTGTGTCACTGAGATGTGAATAAATGAATCACTACATGCAGAGGAGGGTAAATATTTAGTGCAAATGTGAACATGTGATGGGTGGTTTGGTGGCTCAAATGCGTCACCAATTTTGGGCGTGTTCTTCACAACAGGGTCTTTATAGTCCTGTGATCTCTGCTTCAGAATAGACAAAGCATCATTGCAGCCACCTGTTACACACAACAAAATAACCCAAAGAGCTCTCATCTGAAAAAAAATGCAGGCTGAGGAATACAATCGTAGAGGTAATGGTAGCTTCCATTTGACTGCATTGACTCATTTTGTCTGTGTTGTTATATTCACTGAATTAATGATTTGTAAAGAATAGACAAAATAAAGGTGAATTATGAATTTCAATAGGAATATCATTCCAGCTTTTACAGTGTCTGTTACTGCTCAGGTAAGGAGCTGGTGGACTACATCACACAGTACCTGGGCTCCATCAGAGAGAGGAGGGTGATTCCAGACGTGAAGCCAGGTTACATGAAGGAGCTTCTCCCTGACACTGCGCCCATAGAGCCGGAGGACTGGGAGAGTATCTTTAAGGACATCGAGAAAGTCATCATGCCAGGGGTGAGTTCTTAATGTCATCCATTATCATACCAGGGATTTGAAAGGAAGCAAGTATTTCCTCATCTTATCCCCCAGGTGGTTCACTGGCAGAGCCCTCATATGCACGCCTACTACCCCAGTCTGACTTCATGGCCCTCTATGCTTGGGGACATGCTGGCCGATGCCATCAACTGTGTTGGATTCACCTGGGTAAGAGGACAACCTACACTTTTTTTCTCTACTACATTTTCGAGAAACAGCAAAAACAAAAGAAAAACATCACTGAAGCAATGAAGTCATATCCTGATAAATGATGATTGTTCGTGCTGGTTTTGAACAGGCCTCCAGCCCAGCGTGTACAGAATTGGAAATGAATGTGATGGACTGGTTGTGTAAAGCACTGGGGCTCCCGTCCTTCTTCCTGCATCATCATCCAGACAGGAGAGGTGGAGGCATCCTGCAGGTTTGCATCAACCTTGATTCGTTTATTTTAAAACCCCAACCTTTATAGTCTGCGATCATCGTTCTTTTCCACCTTACTCTTGTGTTAGAGCACAGTCAGTGAGAGTACACTGGTGGCTCTGCTGGCAGCCAGGAAAGACAAAATGTTGCAGCTGCGGCCTGAGCTCGACCAGGACGTGGACGACTGTGTCCTAAATTCAAGACTGGTGGCCTACGCTTCAGATCAGGTCAGTGTCACCACTTCTTCTACAGTGACTTCCTGTCAATCAGATGAATTCAACTGAGAATTTTGATCTGATGTGCTTTCACAGGCTCATTCCTCGGTAGAGAAGGCAGGTCTGATCTCTCTGGTGAAGATCAGGTTTCTGCCCACTGATGAGCAGTTGTCTCTGAGAGGAGACACATTAATACAAGCCATACAAGAAGACAGGAGGAGGGGACTGGTCCCTTTCATGGTAGGTATCTGGCACTGAAGTGTTTAGGTGGAGAACTTACAAATCATACCAGTGTTTTTTTGTGTGTTTTAGCTGACTGGTAACTATTTTTGAAAGCATATTGTACAGTAAGATATCTGAGTGATTTTCCACGAATCGCATTGTCTTTTTAGATCATGTCATGTCTTATAAATATATATATATATTGTATAATATATTATAATAAATAATTGCTTGGGGCCAAAGAGGGAAAGTCTTCTAATATTTACAAAATATTCTTTTGTATGACAACTTTGAATTGCTGTTTTTTTTGCTGATGATACTTGTGTGATTATTTAAATTGGATTTTGAATGCTTGTAACAGAAACTTATTGACATTAATTGTATTGGTTAAGAAACAACGGTAAAAAATATTTTTAAAAATCAGTGTTATTATTTAGATTTAATTTTACAATATGGCACAATTTGTAGGGCTGAAACATGAACAAATAATGGAAATTTAAAAAAAAAATTACAGCAAAATACGGACATTAGATGTCAAATCTCACATGATGTCATTTTGTTTCTCCCCTGTTCAGCTGTGCGCAACGTTGGGAACAACAGGAGTGTGTGCCTTTGACAATCTGCCTGAACTGGGACCAGTCTGTACGTCTTCAAATTCCCTCCCAATGATGTCTGTTTAAACGTCTGTAAAGTCAAAATATTGTGTTGTTCCACTGAGATGCATTCAGAGAATTACCGTACTTGTATTCAAATCTGTTTTTCAGGTGCAGAAGAGGGACTGTGGCTCCATGTCGATGCTGCGTATGCTGGCTCAGCCTACTTCTGTCCTGAGCTCCGCTGGTCCCTGGAGGGCATTGAATTTGCTCACTCTTTTGTTTTCAACCCCTCAAAGTGGATGATGGTCCATTTTGATTGCACAGCTTTCTGGTGAGTAAGAAGACTGAAGCCCGATCTCCCATGTATAGAAATTAACATTATCAATGAAGCTTGTTGGTTGGTAATATGGTTTTACTTTGTTTTCTCAGGGTTAAGGATAAATATAAGCTCCAACAGACGTTCACTGTTGATCCTGTTTACCTCAGACATGAAAACTCACAGGCAGCCACAGACTTTATGGTATCATACCGTCACGTCTTCACCCAATTAAAGAATCATATATCGTAGTAAATCATTTCAAGCAATGAATCTGCTTTTTTCTGTTGTTCAGCATTGGCAAATTCCCCTCAGCCGGCGCTTCCGTTCTCTAAAGCTCTGGTTTGTTATGCGTTCCTTTGGGCTGAAAAACCTCCAGGCTCATATCAGACATGTAAGTGGCACTCAGTTCTCTTCATGCAAATGATCTAAAGAATAAATATCTAATATCATCAGATATGGGACTTGTAAGTGCATCCACGGAAGTCCATGACAAACAACGGAATTGATTCGTTTTTATGTTTCAGAATTTACATGTATATTTCTTTTGTCTTTTTTTAGGGGATTGAGATGGCAAAGCTCTTGGAGTCTCACATAAAAAGTGAGCCAAATTTTGAGGTTCCTGCCGAGAGGCACCTCGGCCTGGTGGTGTTCTGTCTGAAAGTATGTGGCACACATTTGTACTACACAGCAACATGTCTTTTATTGACTAATCATTGTTGAGATACCTCGTTCAAAGGTGAATTACTGAATAACTTGTTTTCATCAAACACAGGTGAGGGCAAGAGCAATACCACAGATCATAAAGAAGAGCTGAAACATTGACTCTATGTCGCTGAAAATGCTTATGTTAGTTTTTAGTTTGGAAGCTGTTTTTTGGCTCAGCAACATTTATGAAGATTTAATGTCATTTTTTTTAATTTTAGGGAGGAAATGCTTTGACCCAGGAGCTGCTGAGGAGACTGACCCGGTCGGGCACCATGTACCTCATCCCTGCAGACATTCACACAAAGCGCATCATCCGCTTCACGGTGACCTCACAGTTCAGCACCGCGGAGGACATCCTTAAGGACTGGAGCATCATCTCCAAAACGGCTTCCACTCTGCTGGCTGAGACACAGGCTCTGAATAACGCAGACCAACCACAATCAGGGAAGGATGAGGTGATACAAGAAAAACAAGACGGCGACTCAGACACCAAGTCTGAGGAGAGAGAGGATGCTGCCTCCAGGCTGGACAAGAATGAAGTGGAGCTGTGGATTGACAAGGCTTGGAATCGATCTCGGAGACCGATGCGATCTCTTAGCTGCAGCAGCGAGCCTCTGCCTTACACTTGCGTCGGTCCGCTGTCCTGCTATGACTTTGAAACAAGGCCTAGTCTGAAAGATGCTGCAGGCGCACACCCCGATGTGCCATCAATGGCAGGATCCGGTCCCATGTATAAGATCAGAGAGATGCATTCAAATCTTCTGGTTAAACATGACCTGAAAAAGCTGACAAAGTTCTACAGCGTACCCATTTTCTGCAACCAGTTGTTGCAGTGCGGCCGCCACCAGCTGTGCTGCCCTGTGAAGGTTTCACAGGCAACTCAAAAACACTTGTCCTCCACCTGCAGACGAATGAACTGTATGTGTTCTTCCCCTGTAGCCAACACAGCTCCCTCTCCTACTCCACTGGAAACTGCCACTGCTCCTAAACTCCTGGAATGATCCTGAAGCAGTGTACAGTAGTTCATACATGCTCAGTATGATAATTAACCAATTTACTGCGATAGCTGTGTTGGTGCTGAGCAAGCACATTCAGTTCTTGGTAATTTGAAGATCCCTACCGAAGCGTGTCAATGATTTGGGATTGCTTAGCTCATTTACAATCATGTTTTAAGAATATTTTTTATTAAAGTGTTTCAAACTAAATACTTCACTACACAATATTCCCCAGAAGTAGCTCATGAAATGTGCTGTACATAAATGCTCAATGTGCAGGTCATTAATTAATTTGGCATCTTGTGTCATTTAAATCAAATGTATTATTTTAAGAGTGACAATCCAATAATAAACACTGAATCTCATTCAGAGCCTGAGTCTTCCTTCTGCGATGGAGCTGAATATCTCCTGAGTCATGGGTACGTAGCCCTTGTTGTCCTCCAGGTAGAACAAAGGGTCCCTGATGACGGCGGGGTTGAAGCCCTCCTCTGCCAGCTTCACCTTCATTTGCTTAAAAGTCCCAGTTACTACCACTACTTCCTGTCAGAGCAACATAAAAGGTTATATCATGGTTGACATTTTTAGTTAAATTCCCGATTTCCTTTTGTTTTTTATGTGTTATAATATTAATCAGCAAGGCTTTGTTCACCTGTATGCGAATGAAGCGTGGCCGTGCGTAACTGGGGAGGTAGTTCTCGACGTGCTGATACACAGCTTTGCCGTCAAAGTCCATGTTTTCTTTGAGCTTCAGTGCTGCCATTCCTATTCTTCCCTCATTGCCTAATCAGCCATGGTGAAAGTACAAATAGGACTTATTTCAGAATGCGAGTATGAACAGCCCTTCATATGTTTCAAACTGATCACGATTCATAAGTACAGTGTTAATGATTAATGGGCAGGTGAAAACAAATATAGTGGTCAGATGAAAGGCTTTTACAAAAAAAAAGTCACACACATTTTCACCGATGCTATCTAATGTTGACTGTACATATTAAATCATTGATAACAATGTAATTACCTGGCACCTTCACACCATAGACATTGGCCTCTTCAACACAGTCCACCGTGAGTAAATGATCAGCCACCTCTGTAGTTGCCACATTTTCTCCTTTCCACCTGTATTGGATGACGAAAGAAAAAACAACGTGCCCAACTGAGCTACAATGTTTTCTTTAAGCACTGGGAACAGTTTTGTTACAATTTACATACAAACATAGTCAGGGGAAAGCTTGTTTCTTATTTGCAGAAAATGCTGAAATAACAATTAAAATGAAATGAAGTTAAATGTAATGTTGTGTCCTACACCTAGAATTGTGATGAAATGTATCAGTCATCATCGTATCGTTATTTTGCAATTAACTGACTTCAAAAGTCAAACGTAGCCTGAGTTAATCAAGCAATCATCTAAAAAGGTCAAACCACCTTTACAGTTCAGGCTTTGACATTGTTATCTAACCACTGTGTCTAGATGTGGATTCGTCAGATGTGTTTCACCCACTCACCTGAAAGTGTCTCCAATGCGGTCTTGAAAGAAAATAAATCCCTCGTTGTCCATCTTCAGAAGGTCGCCACTGTTAAAGTAGAGGTCTCCCTTCACAAACACGTCTCTCACCTTCTTCTTCTCTGTCTGCTGATTGCTCTTGGCGTAGCCGGTGAAAGGTGTTCTTTCTCCAATTTTTGTCACGAGCAAACCGATCTCTCCTGCGGGTGAAAGCAGTGAGCACGGGATACGTGTTAGTAAGAGCGAGAAGGTCAAGCGGGGGCTTTAGTTTTGGAGGAGATGGGCTCACCTCTGGGGACTTCAATACAAAATCCTCTGGAGTCTTTGACTGGCTCCTCTTTCTCTGTGTCGTACCTTATGAGGGCATACGGACATCCCATCTGAAACACAGTTTAAGAATAAATCATAGAAAAGAATTTAGTTATAAATCCAACACTTTGTAATTGTGATAAAGCTAACTTGTAACGGTTGGACTAAATAGTCCAACCAACCCTGCAAGGTTATCCCATGGTGTTAAATGTTACCGTACAAAAAAAAACAACCTATTTGCAAAAGGGAGCTCTTACTTTGTGGAGAAAATGCTCTTTGCCAATAGCTCCAACTTTGCCACAGTAGTTGACAAAGCCAACATTTCCTTCAGTCGCTCCATAGCATTCACAGATACTAATGTCCCCAAATCGTTGCACGAAATCGGCCCAGACGTCGGCCCTTATCCCGTTCCCTACAGCCAATCGGACTTTATGGTCTCTGTCATTGTCTCTCTGGAGGAAAGTGAAGGAGAGGTGAGACCAGGATAAACGTCACATCATGCTTATCTTTGGTTTTGAATACAAAGCAGTGTGTCTGACTGCTGCAGGTGTTCGCTGCCCACGCAAATGTCATAAGAACTATTAAAGCTTTGCTTTGTATTCAACAATCAATAATGGTAAAAAATATATAAACATGTTTGTTATGACACTAAGGTTTACCTTTGGGGTGTTGCAGAGGTAGCGCATAATCTCTCCTATGTACTGAAAAACAGTCACGTTGTACTTTCGACAGTCATTCCAAAAGTGGGAGGCAGAGAATTTACGTCTTAAAACAACAGTGATGCCTGAAATGAAGACGCACAGATCTCAGCAACTCAAAATATCACACTGAGAGCACAGTAAGTGTTAGGACTTTGAAATACAAATAGTGGAAATCCGGATCAAACTGTGATCTGAGGTCATATACCTGTTTGTTTAACTTTTAGTAAACTTGTCAAAGTTGTTTTGTAGTACTATGATGCCACAAACTACCTTTTTCTATGGCTCCACAGAGTCCCATCAGCATGCCAGAACTGTGGTAAAGAGGCAGGTACACGTAGATGATATCATCTGAGCGTACGGCAGCAAGAGACTGGAAAAAAGATGCCATCCATAGTCTCTCATGGTTGATTACAGCAGCCTTGGGAAGCCCTAAAAGGAAATAAACGTAGCGTTTGTTCTTACAGTCCTAGTTCTGCAGCTCAAGGCCTCATGCGATAAACAGCAACGCAGAATAGAGGCAAAAGTCACATTAGCCCGTAAATTTACCCGTGGTTCCTGAGGTGTAGATGTACAGCGCAGGACTCTTCATGGTAACGTTGGCCCTCAGCTGAGGTGAGAGAGGCTGGTCTGAGGCCTGCCGAATTTTATCAGAGAGGCTTTCAATGCCCTCCACACCGGAGTCCTCGCTGAGGATGAACACACGGACGCCCTGCTGGCTCAAGGTGGGCAACACCTCCTCGACAGCCCCTCGCAGGTCTGAGAGAGACAAAAGAGAGCAAGCAGTGCAGTGACAATAAAAAATGTGAAAACAATCAAAACAGATGTGGAGAATCATGGGAATTAAGCCCATTAAGACCAAACCCTGGCCAGCTCATCTGGTTTGAGGTCATTTAGAAACTGTGTGTCCATCACATGGTTAGTCCGCCAGAGAGAAGTGATTTTTTTAATTGTAAATGTGGTCACATATGTTTTTAAATGTCAGGGTTCCATATCCAGAATGCTTGCTCATGTTTAAAGTAATTCTTTAATTTTTGGTCTGAATATCAGCACTATAAAAAACCCAGTATCGATCAGGTTAGACTTTAAACGCTATGCAAAAAACATATTCACAGCTGGGTACTATATTAAAAAAGAGAGGACAATGTTATTCATTCATTCAAGACTCCTGACAGTTGTTTTGAATGAAACGGCATCTGACATTTAAATGCAGATTATGTGACAATAATAATGATTTGGAATGGGAGGTGTGAATAAATAGTGCAGAAAACCCTGAAAATCATAATCACATAGAGGATGAACTCAGTCTCCTTTCCCCAGCTTACCAGCACCAGCGACCAGAACCTTGGCTTCGCAGCAGGAGAAGCAGTGCAGCAAAGATTTGGATCTGATGTTGTTGTTCAGTAAAGAAGCGGTGCATCCCAGCTTGGTCAGAGCGAGCCAGATCCACACGAACTGAGGCTCGTTGCCCAGGAAGAGGGCCACCGTGTCCCCCTCCTTCAGCTGGGCATACGAGGAGAGAGCTCTGGCCACTTTGCTGCTTTCTTTGTCTGCCTGGCTGTAAGTGTACGAGCTTTCCTCGAAAAGTATGAACTTCTTATGCGGCTGCCTCGCCACTTGATCCAGAAAACGATCCAAAATACTGTAAAAGGGTTTCTGCTTCTTGAATTTACTCATCCATACACCAATTTGAATCATAGAAATCGTGTAACGTAAATCTTGAAAAAAATAAGGGTTTCTCAAGTAAAGCAGTAACGGCAAAATCGCCAAACCTGTCAGAGCGGTGTATATAATGAGTGCAATCATTGTTAATCAGAAGAGCAGTGTCTGTCTGGGCTGCAGAATGAGTGCTGAAAGGTTCAACTTTCTAGAGCACACAAAAGCTGAATATAGGCCACTGCTGACGAATTCAGTTTACACCTCTTGAACTTTGAGCGTGTGTCCTCCTCCTCTGTGGGAGTATACCCAAACTCCTCACTCACGGGCGCAGAGACTTTGAGGCTCGCTCCCGCAAAGTTCGTGAGGGTTTAGTTCTGTCCCACTGTCAAATCATGGAGTGTTTGAGGGCTCTCTCCCAGACATCTTGAGCCCTTTATGAACCCTTTCCGTAAGTCAGCATAGGATGCTGACTTAACCTAATTACCCACAAATCATTGCAATGTGACGTTAAACACGGGGTAACCAGTGGAGGTATGGAGATGTAAAAAAAAAGGTAAACAAAGAGGACGGCTCACATGTGTTCAGCCTGGAATATTAAATGTACACAGAAACATTAAGGGTTAAATATGGAACAAAAAAAAACATGAAATCAGAAGATATTTATTCATTTATTCATCAAATATTTGATTTTGTCATTGAAGCTGTTTTGACAAAAAACGAGTAAATAGATTGTTTGAAATGACCTCTCATCTTGTGAGGAAAGAGCCTGGAAGACGTTCAAATCAGGGAGTAAAAAATATAAAATAAATACCCACAATATTTTTTGACGTTCTTATGTTTGACGTTGATATGTTGCAGCAAAGTGCTGTCCCATTCGTATTTACACCATTTCAAGCCCTTCTCTCACACTCAACCATTTACCAGGTGATGTCAGTAAGTCCCTGAGGGTTCAGGGTTTGAGGCCTTCCGGGGGACATTGGGATTGGGCCTAACAAAGTAAATTGTGCAAAGTGGCAATAATGACAAGTAACCTTTAATATTAAACATTAAAAATGTTCACAAAAGTGATTAATACGAAGACTGGTTAAAATGCAGTTGCATAATTAATGAAAATGGACTCATTGCAACACATCAGTACATTTTTCATTATGCCTGTTACTGACCCCATTGTGACACCAAGAAAGGGCTCCTACAATCATTCCTCATCAATAAGAAATGTAATTTAGACACACATATATATACGTAGAT